ACAACTTGTGCCGTTGACTCCAGATTGAAACAGGGAAGATACAAAGTTTTCATGGATGGAACTAAAATGGCTCTGCTAATTCCAGTAGATTAAATCATTACATTATATGTAATTGGTCCTTTCCCTTCCTGACACCATTCTAGTGTGTGTCTATTAGCTAAGTATATTCGAGGGCATGCAGAAGTCAGTAAGTTGCTAAAGGCTGATCATACTGAATTACTGCCCACCTGTCCCAAAGAAGACGTTATGTCACACATTTCTTTTACAAAGTTTTACATGACTTCCACTTCCTCTGTGTTGCGAGTGGGGGGAAGACATTTCTCTATTTTTATGCAGTGCATATCCTGTATGCTCTTTTTGCCTTTACTGACCTCCAGGAGGCGATACAAAAGTTGGTTGTTTTGAATTACCTATTTTGGGAAGTTGCCAGTCCTTTAAAAAGATCCATTTTTGGCTTATGCACTCTGATTGTATGTGACTCCTGATATAACAGATAACAGATAATCAGAGTTGGAAGGGACCCTGTAGGTCATGTAGTCCAATTCCCCTCCCAAGCGGGAGACCCCACACCATTTCTGACAAATGGCAGTCCAATCTCTTCTTGAAAGTCTCAAGTGATGGCGGTCCCACAACTTCTGATATGCAACTTCTGATATGCGTTTCCCATGTGTTTAAAAGGATGTCCACAAACTTGAGGCTTCCGGTTTGAAGGGCTTCAGCGACAGACAGAAATCCGCGATCGTGAGCGGTTTCTGTCTGGGCTCGCCGCTGGAGCGCCCCGAGCCAGCTGGTTTCGGGGCTAAGCCACCCCGTAGAGGTAGTGAAGAGGGGGGAGACCACCAGCAGGGTTGAGGAGAGCCGCATCTCTCCTCCTCAGCTGGCCAATACTCCCTTTCCCGAAGGCAGTTGCAGCGGTGGTCAGAAATGGCCACCACAAAGGAGAACTCGACCAGAAAAGAATGTGCAGGAGGAAGATAAGAAGTGAAAGTTTTGGCTGACTGGGTTAAATTGTAAAAGCAACAACTAAGGTACCCTGGAATTTAAACTTACAAAAAATAACATCACTCCTAAAGAAGAGTTGGAACCAGCGAAGGAAAGTGAAAAGAGAAAGGTTTGGCTTTTTTTTCTTCTCTCTCCTTACCTATACTGACAACTAAGAGACTTAAATAAGAAATCAGAAAAATTCGCTTTGACATCAATAGGCAATTAAGCTGAAAATAAAACAAAATGCCAAAGGGATAATAAAGATTTCTGTACATTAAAAATTTTCTTTTTCATAAGCAGGAAGGGAGAGAAAAAGAATAAGGGCAGGATCTGGAAGAGGGAGGAGACTGCCTGGAATTAAAAAGAATCTACAGTAAAACTTCAACAAGACTTCTAAAAGATACATTTTAACTGAAACTTTGCAACTAAATAGTAACCCCAGGAAGAGAAAGTGAAAAAAAAGAGCAAAAAAGAAACAGCTTGCGTGTATTTGGATTATTTGGTGAACTTTGGATTCTTGGTTATTATATTTGAATGACTAAAATCAATCGGGTGGTTGTTTAAAAATTTATACAATGGCACCACTTCTGGATGAATTGAAAATGGAACTTAAAAAGTACAAAGAAAATGCACAAGAAGGGAAGGGTTCTTTTGGCTTCGTTTTTCAATTCTTAGAAATGGACATTTGGAACTATGAGAAACAACAAGAAACGACTGCAAAACAAGAAGACTGGGACAAAGAAGAAGCCATCTTTAATGAACAAGCAATTTTATGTGGGGAAGAAAAAGGAAAGGGGGGAAAGAGAATGGAGAATTTAAGACTTAAAAAAACAACCAAAGAAAAGAAAAATAATTTAAAAAATAAGTATAATACTGGAAAGCAACAGAAAAGGGGAATACAGAAGAGAGAAATAGAGGTAGAGAGACAAGGGGAGAGAGAAGAAGAGAGGGAAGAAGGAAAGGAAAAGAAGTTACAAAGGACCGGAGCAAGATATAGAGAAACAGGACCTATTTAGAGATAATGGGTGAAAATCTAACTGAAAAAGGGATTCTGTAAAGGTACATAAGATTGTATTGTTATATTAGTAATAGAAATAACTTTAGAAAATTGGAAACAACATATGATTAAAATGAGGGATAAAATAGTGTAATTTAGTGAAATGTTTGTGAATAAAATAAGTGAAATAAAATAAATGAGAAAATTGAATTAGGAAGGAACGGGAACATTTTAATTAGTTAATGTTTTATAAAATGTAAGTGAAGAAGGGGGGGAATTAACTATGGAAAGTTTATAATTGTTCCCATAGAAGTATGACATTTAATTGAAAAGTAATGTTAAAGATGTTAAGACTTTAATGAATATGAATATTAATGATAGAATTGAATTGGAATGGAATGTGTTGTTTTAATTACATACATTTATAATTTTTTCTTTTTTTAAGAATACAGTGTGTATTTTAAGAATATACCAAGCAGAATCCGAATGGAAGTTATGTATTATATTGAATGTTACAACTTTAGGGAAAAGATATAAAGGCGTCATACTCCAGTCAGTAACTACAGGAGAAATTTTGTTTAATGAGAAAAGGTAATAGATAATTGAAACAAGACAGACAAAAAATATAAATACAATTATTTGAATTGAGACGAGATAATTAAAATAAAATTGAGAAAATTAAAAGAGGGGAGAAGCTATGCAGAAAATGTAAAAAAGTAATAAGATATGGAATAGAATATAAAAATGAGCATGAACCTGAATTTGTGTCTGTACGAAGAAATGTACCTGGGATTACGCTACTTTCAAAAAAGATGTTTTATTTGTATTTTTTTTCTCTTTGTGAAAACTCAAATAAAATTTACAACAACAACAAAAAAAAGGATGTTCACAAACTTCTGTTTGTTATAAAATACAAACCAAAGAGTATGATGCATTATGCACTTTAAGGAAAGAATAGAACAGAACAGAATAGAATACCTTTATTGTCATTGCATTCTACAAATACAATGAAATTTGAAAGCTATTCCAGCAGTGTCCCAAACACCACATCACAATCACATTACAGAGTATTTAAAAATTAAAACAATTAAAAATAATAATTAAAAACCTAGTCTAAAACTTATCTAAAACATATAGTAAGTTAGATAGTTTAAAAATGCCACCATATACATAGGGCTAAATCACATATGCATTGTTTGATTCAAGACAATTATTGCCTTGGAAAAGAAACTGTTTCTCAGTCTATTAGTCCTCATTTTAAGACACCTATAACGCCTCCCTGATGGTGACAGTTCAAAATATGAATGTCCAGGATGAGAATGGTCTGTGGAGATTTTTAGTGCTCTAGAGAGGAGTCTGGTCTTCGCAATCTCTTCCAAAGAAGAAAGAGAACAACTGATGATTTTTTGTGCTGTGTTTGTAACTCTCTGGAGCATCATCTTATCCACTACAGAGCATCCAGCATACCATACCGTTACACAGTATGCCAAAATGCTCTCGATGGTAGACCGGTAAAAAGTAACCAGCAACTTCTCACCCAGACCACTCTTTTTCAGCAACCTCAGAAAGTGCAGGCGCTGGTGGGCCTTCTTTGCAGTGGCCATAGTGTGGACTGACCAAGTAAGGTTGTCAGAAATATGAGTTCCTAGAAATTTTAAACTATGAACTCTTTCCACACAGTCTCCATTGATATATAGTGGGAGAGGCTCTGCTTTGCATCTTCTGAAGTCTATAATCAATTCTTTGGTCTAAAACGGTCTTTTATGTACACTTATACATGAATTAGAATTTAGGTAAATTAGAATTTATCCTATAGGCTAAGATAATACAGGAGGAAGAAGATGACAACTAAGACATTGTCCTGGTAGTCTTTGACTTATGACCATAGTTTACATAGTTTTTAATTACAGTTATAAGTCATGAACCTAATTTTACTATCTTTTTGTGGAGGTCATTAATTAAATGCAGTATCTGGAAAGCAAATTAGTTGTTTGGTACAGGTCAATTTTTTGCTGGAAACTGGTTCCTGGCAAAATAAAGTAAACACTGGTTCCTGGCAAAATAAATCACAATCATGTGATGACAGGGTGCTGCAAACAGTCATGAATGCAGGCTTGTTGCCGAGCGCCCAAAATGCAGTCATGTCATTGGGGCGGGGGAGCAATATTAGAACTTCAGAACTCAGTTATAAGTATCTTTTTGCAGATCCATTATAAATTTGAACAGTCACTAAGCGATCAATCATAAGTTGAGCACTACCTGTATAACTCATCAATAGTACTTAGACTTATACACCACTTCACAGTGCTGTACAGCCCTCTCTAAGTGGTGTTACAGAGTCAGGATATGGCCCCCAACAATCTGAGTCCTCATTTTACTGACCTCGGAAGGATGGAAGGCTGAGTCAATCTTGAGCCAGTCAGGATCGAAAGAATCAAACTCCTGGCAGCGAACAGTGAGTTAGCCCTGCAGTACTGCATTCTAACCACCGTACCACCACAGCTATTATAATGATAATACTTTACTTATATAATTGTACATTCACTTTCTAGGAAGTTCCTCAACATGTGAACTGAATCACTGTCTTATGTCAAATAGCAGATGTTGTGCTATGCTTTCATGATACAGAGTTACTGACATTTCCCAATAAATAGATTAACTAGGAAAATAAAATACTTTAAAGACATTAAAATACAGTGGTAAATGTTAACATTTTAGTTGTTGATGATGTTGGGTGTAAAAAGATAAAGAGGTCAGAAGTCATGTTCAGCTTTTTGTCAGTTCAATGGATAGATTTATGGCATTTTTTAATAACAGCATGAAAGTGGTTGGCCATTGCCTATTTCAGCATGTTGTAGTATGTTGTGTTGTATTTTTGTTATGGATAGCACCAGCAGGAGCAAAATCAATTTCATTGTACATATGTACAATGACAATAAAGGCTGTTGTTATTATTATTATTTCTAATGTAATAAATGGTGCAATTTGATAGTAATTCTTACCATTTTCTTTCAAACAGGCAACTTCAAAAAATAGTGCATGATATCAAGAAAAATGATAGTGGAATAATGAGCAAGTTCAAAAAGTAAGTTATGTAAATGAGCAATCCACACAATGGAATTATTATTCTCTTTGATTTTGATGCTTATTTTCTGTAATTATGTCAAATATATCTATATACCTGGTTATTCTTTTTATGTTCAATTGGGCTTCCCTCCAGAACATTTCTGGTTAGTGTAATTTGTACATCAATGCAAAAGATTTTTCTTGATGCTCTTGTCTTATACAACCAACTGGGTTGTACTAATCTAGATGAAATGTTAACATATATCGCTGGCCTATGCGCTAAATAAATGAATAAATTCGTACCCCCTAGTTCAGCTGGATAAAAAGGCTGTGCTATACAGAAAATAACAGCTTCTGTCTTCAATGGCTTCCAGTGTGAACAGTGGGACGGACGTTAACCTCAGCAGTCTGAGTCGTCAGAGTCAGAGTCACGAGGGTCTGCAGCTAGCTATAATGTGGCCAAAATGATGAAATATAAGTACTGCCCCTTTTTGTGTGTGTGTCATGATATTGCTGGAAAGTCTATAGCTTTAGCACCTCCCTCTAGATGTTCACATTCTGAGTGACAAGAAAGAACAAGCAAAACATGACTATCTTTTCAAATGATATTTCTAAATGCATTCCTCTCTTTTGCCCTAAATAAGAATGGCTGGTATTCACAGCAAATCCTTCACCACCCCACCACCCACCACTTTAAGGAGCAATGTGGAGAATAGCAAAGTCCACCTACTGTGGGCGTAGCATTAATGACCTGACCTGTGCAAACCAAGAAATCACCAGGGATACAAGTTGCAACTTGCAGGGAACTTTCATTCACATGTAAAGCTATAAAGCAGTCTGTTTATTTGGAATCGACAAATCGTTTGAACCAATTCAGCTCTGTCTTATTTTGTAATTCATGGTTAACCAAACTAGGATTTAACAGGAATCCAGCCCATCTCTACAATGCAACCTACATCGAGGGGAGCATTTCAGACCAGTGATTATTCTGTTTTATAATATTACGATATCCAATCTGTGAAGATCTGTGTTCCTGTCTCATTATTGCACAATGTTCTCTGAATGGATAAAGTTTCAACATATGCATTAAAACTTCTGCCTACCTCGTCTGGTAGCAGAGCATCAACTTGTCTGCTTCTGTTGCAACCAGTATGATAAAACAAAACAAACACAATTGTGTTTCCTCCTTCAGAGATTTTACAGCAGTTTTTCTAGCAGCCATTTTCCACACCCACATCTCCTGTATATACTTTTAGGTCTATATTTATCCTTGAAACAGTCGCCTAAATATAGATTATCTACAGAAGAGTACTCCAGAACAAGAGTCCTTCCTGATTAATTTGTATTTCTCTCCAGAAATTTCTTTGCAAAACGCAAACCTACCTACCTCACCTTTGAAGGCCTCTGCTTCTCCTAGGCTCTGATTGGGGGACAAGAGTGGGGTTGTCCCGTGTTCAATGCACTCTTTAGACTCTCCTCTTCAGTCCCTGGGATCCTAAGAACTCTCCCCTGCCTTCTGCAGCAATTGGACTTTTAAGAAATGCTTCTTAGGATTCTGTGGTGCTTCAAATTTTACCCCAAAAGCTGCTTCAAGGTGCATTCCTGGGAAAGAGGCCAGTAATGTTGTGCTTTGCACACTCTAAAGAACCTTTGGGAAATGAAATGCTGCACAATCCTATTGTGTCTCTTGCAAAATTCAGGTGAAGTTTTTTTTTCTAAATCCAGTTGTCAAACAGATTTTTTTTTCCTAGGGTTTTAATGAGGAAAGGATTGTTTCTAGTTTAGTTTAGTTTACTTTATTGTCATTGCGCCTCGTACAACAAAATTAAATGCCATCTTCAGTTTACATTATAACTCTAAGAATAAAACACAAGCACACATCCTTCACATTCTATAAAATTGAATTGAAAACCCGATATTGAATGAATATTACACTATACAGTAAAATTCAATATAGTTACCACCCCGAGATAGAAGCTGTTTTTCAGCCTGTTTGTCTTTGTTTTTACTAACCTATACCATCTGCTAAATGGTAATAGTTCAAAAAAAAGGGTTCCCAGGATGAGATGGATCTTTAAGAATGTTTTGAACTTCTTTAAGGCAGTGAGAGCTATAAAGCTCTTCCAAAGAGGGGAGAGGGCAACCAATGATCTTCTGGGCAATGACATTAACCCTCTATCTATCTGAAGATAGTGTTACTCAGCCCCCAAATGGTTTTTCCTGGCAGTTGATTAGGACTTGTTGTGAAATGTTTACATGTGAGCAATGTGCTATCTCTCCTGCCCATCTGTAACACGCAGTTGTTTGAGAGAAAAGGCACGCTATTGCAGGAAAATCTGCAACTCTCAACCCAACCTCCGATTCTCAGAGAAGAGAGAAATCAGTTCAGCCTTTTGATAAAGGTTCCCCTATTCTTCAGAGGTAGCAAACAAAGGACATCAAAGAGGAACCAGAGACAGGGAAGATGTTCTTACATTTGACTAGATTTATCATGTGAGACTCAATGGGATTATCTCTGAGAAAAGATTGTGCTTGACAGAAAAAAAGATTCACCACTTCACATATTATGACCTTGATCAACAGATATAAACCATCACTAATAAAGTTGGGCATTCAAGGGATCATTGCCTTGTGGGAAGAAGATATCAAAGGTTCCCTTGGCCTCACAGATGGTTGTCAGAATTGCCCACTATGTTTTGTTTCAAGAGATGACATGCAACAGCATATGAACACTTCAGGGGAGGCTCTGTTGAATTAGCCTGAGTTTTGCTGAAATTCTGCAGTCCTCTGTTTTGTTGTGGCTTTGGTGCATAAGGTATTCTCAGGTTACTAGTTCAGGTGGCGGCTAAGCAGGTGCCTGACATTTGGTAAACAGCAAAAGAGAGTCTGTATTGACTCAAAACAGAGAAAACAATGCCTGATTTAATATCGGAAACAAGAAGACCCAGTCACATCAGGATAGGTCTTTTGCTCATGGGATTGTCTTGGGAGAAAAGGGTAGGTTGGAGAGGGGATGACAAGTTTAGACTAGTATATTTTGTTTTCTGCAGCCAAGGACAAGATGTAGTAGCTTTCCTACTACATGAAGCTGTACTTGATGTGTATTTTTTCCCCTAGGCAAAATGTAAAGGACATCAAAGTCCTATTGATAATATGGACATATTCTCAGAGTTCAGAAGTTTGGCTGGTTAATGAACATGTTGTTATTGTGTGCTCGTCACAGAGCCACCTTTGGGGAGATGGGCAACTATATTGATGAAAGAAAGAAAGAAAGAAAGAAAAAGAAAGAAAGAAAGGAAGGAAGGAAGGAAGGAAGGAAGGAAGGAAGGAAGGAAGGAAG